CAGGGACGCACTGCCCTGAATAATCACAACCTTCCTCAGAAATCACTGAAGTAGAGCAGAAAAAGTACATGGATGCATCTATTGGAAACCGTATGGATCTTTGTGCGTAGGACGGCCGGCATTGATATGTAAATGACCCAGAAACCAAAGAAGAAAAAAAGACAACACTGAGGAGCTATGAAAGAGCAAATATATTCAGTGATATGTAGTATCTACTACTGTATGAACGTCTAAACTCTCGCAAGATCGGAGCCAAAAAAAAAGATTTCCGATGTACTGAGGCAGCGAAAAGAGACCTACGATATAGAAAGGGAACACTGTACTGTATATTATATTCTTATATTCTGCTTTGTCTTTGTGATTTACTCTGTTTCCTCTAAAGCCAGTTGTTTGTGGCTTTGTACTCGGTGCTTGTCAACCATTACAATTAAAAAGGAATTTTTCATCCTACTGGTTCTGGTTCAGAGCTGATCCACATATTAACCTAGCCCTCTAATAGTATTAAACACAGGCTGACACACACTCACACACACACACACACTCACACACTCTTCCTGTACATTGCAGTATCATTAAGGTGCAGTTAAATGCCATGACCTGAAGTAGAAGGACATCTAATGAGGGGATTTGAACATGTTCTTGTTCAGTACCGTGTGGGCGCGGCCATTGCATCATCACGTCTTCTCATGTTTGTGTTCTCCACATAATAGAAGGCAGTTGTTTGATTGATGCAGACTACAGTGACGGTGCAGAGACCCTAACCATGTCCACGACAGTCTGGCTGTCTGGTTTAATGGAGGCTGTGTTTCTTTCTCAGCCACATCTTTGCACTCAGGAAGACCCCCGCCTCCCCACCCCCGTGTATGTGTGTGTGTGTTGTGTTTGTGTACGCACATTTCCCGCAGAGATGTAATTGTGGGTTTAATTAGGTTAGCTGCTGAATTAAATGCCGCAACAAAAAAAGGCAACGCAAACGAGCCTTGTACAGGAGGGGGCGGCGGGGGTGAAGATAGGATTTCTTAAAAGAAGGGACAGATCTCAGCAGACCGAGGAAGAGGTAATTAAGTCGTTTTCACACAACCCTGTGGAATTGGTCTCCATTAAACCAGGGCTCCTCCTCCTTCTCTAGCTTCCTTCTTTCCCTCCCTGTCCCTCCAGATGTCTTCATCTTACCATCATATAAAATGCATTTTCATTCATTTAAAAAAATGGCAGTGATTCATCTTTATTTAATCAAATACTAAATATGTTGTTGTAATAAACATAAATAGTCACAGAAACTCACCACGGAACCTGGGACTATGTTAGTTTCACCACAAGGTCAAAGAGCTTGTGGTGGAATCATTTTTGAATGATTTGGAGAGAATTTCAAAGTGTAAACCTTCATTTTTCAGCCATATAAAAACATTAAATTCATTTTACTAACCATTATATTGTTTTTCTTATCTGTAAAGGTGACAAAAAATATTTGGTTAGTGGTCAAAGAAAGTTGAAGGTCACAAAGGTTATTGACCATCATTTTGTCAAGTGCATTCATCAAGAAAATATTTATCAGTTAAATTCAATGTTAAAATGATTATTTTTTATTATTTGTTGTTCTCATCATTGAAAATATTTATCAGTTAAATTCAATGTGAAAATGATTATTTTTTATTATTTTTTGTCTTGTTCTCATCATCACTTTTGTTTTACCCTCTCTTGTCCCATGGCAACTTGATGGCCAGCTAATACTCAGGATTTCAACAGGGTTTTGTCTATCTCTAAATTCTTGAGAGTTCTCTTTTTCACCCTCATGAAATTCCCTTCACATTCATTACTCTCAGCCCCCCCACCCTCCCCACCCCTCCTGTTCTTACTGCCTGTATTTCCTCTTTACCTGCAGAGGATGACAGGCCTGCAGGCAGGTCGTCATAGCAACAGCAAACAGGTGACTGCAGGGCACAGAGCAGGTGAGGAGAGGAGAAGGTGGAGAAAGAAGAGGAGAAGGAGGTGGAGGAGAGAGAGGACAGTTTCAGTTTTATGTGTGAACATTGTGAAGTCTTGTCAGTTTTATTTATGAAGGTCTGTTCAAACCTGAGGAGGTTGATTTAAGTATCTGTGCTGGACATTTACAGTTCAGGATAAGGTCATACACACATGGTGTTTCCACTGTGTGGCCCAGCAGCATTGTCTCCCATAAATGTCCACAGATAGAAAAACAGAAAGAAGTTTTTATTTTTTTTATTACAAAGGTCTCGGGATAACACTAAGAAACTTTAAGTTAATGTGATAAAATGTTAAAATGTCTTAGGTGAATTTGTTTTACCCTGTTTTTAATATTTTAAATTAAATTTGGTTCAGAAGGGGAATGGACTATTAGGGCTCAAGGCCTTTTGCAATACCCTGAAGCTCAATACTAGAACATATTCTTTTGTTGTCAATCTGAGCCTGTGAACCAGAATTACCATCAAACAGCGACTAAATTTTCCTC